ATGATATACCCTCGAAGCTGAGTGTAATCGAACTCGGGGGTCTTTGGCAGATAGCCCTTCTCGACTTAAGCTATGCTGCAAATGATGTGCCATTGAGCTGAGCGTAGTCGAACTCAAAGGTCTTTTGTTAGCAGACACTCCTTCTTTGAGTTGGATATCCCTCGTCGTGAAGTTGAAATCCAATCTAGAGATTGATGCTGCTTGTGTGAACGATTCCCTTCGTCATGAAGTTGAAACCGCGGGTGACCCTTCGTCGTTAAGCTGAGCTGGAATTGGATATCCTTCGTCGTGAAGTTGAAATCCAAGTAAGTTGTATTGTTCTAAGTCCAATATCCTCCGCCGTGAAGTTGAAATTGGCTCTGGAACTGAGAAATTGTTTGTTGACAACCAGCGGTCCCTTCGTCGTGAAGTTGAACTTGCGTTGTCTGGAGTCCAATATCCTTCGTTGTGAAGTTGAAATTGGCTCTGAAATTGGGAAATTGTTTATTGACAACCAGCGGTCCCTTCGTTGTGAAGTTGAACTTGCGTTGTCTGGAGTCCAATATCCTTCGTTGTGAAGTTGAAATTGGCTCTGAAATTGAGAAGTTGTTTGTTGACAACCAGCGGTCCCTTCGTCGTGAAGTTGAACTTGCGTTGTCTGGAGTCCAATATCCTTCGTTGTGAAGTTGAAATTGGCTCTGAAATTGGGAAATTGTTTGTTGACAACCAGCGGTCCCTTCATCATGAAGTTGAACTTGCGTTGTCTGGAGTCCAATATCCTTCACTGTGAAGTTGAAATTGGCTCTGAAATTGGGAGGTTGTTTTTTTTGACAACCAGCGGTCCCTTCGTCGTGAAGTTGAACATGCGTTGTCTGGAGTCCAATATCCTTCGCTGTGAAGTTGAAATTGGCTCTGAAATTGAGAAGTTGTTTGTTGACAACCAGCAGTCCCTTCGTCGTGAAGTTGAACATGCGTTGTCTGGAGTCCAATATCCTTCGCTGTGAAGTTGAAATTGACTCTGAAATCGAGAAATGTTTGTTGACAACCAGCGGTCCCTTCGTCGTGAAGTTGAACTTGTGTTGTCTCGAGTGGCACGATATCCTCCGTCGTGGAGTTGAAATCGCGGATGGCCCTTTCGTTGTGAAATTAAAATCTGGCTTGAAAGTGTTAACTGGAAACATGTTGCTCATTGTTGAGTTGAGCTGAACTGAATTTGATCTGAATTGGTTCTCGAACCCATCTGAAATTGGTTCTGAGATCTGTAGATATGTAAAGTAGGTGTAGCTTCTTGCTGCTGAGTTACACCATCGTTCTTTAAAGGTTCTTGCAAGTCGAGTAGCCTTCATCCTGAAGTCGAAGCTTGACTCTGAAAGCTGCAAAATTATGTATGCTAAAATGATGAATATGATGCACCTAAGTATGTCTAGGATGCATGTAACATGAATAAATTATGTGCAATTTCTTGGATGGAGTCTCGTACTTTGTCTGCTGATCTGGTCCTTGGAATCGATCGTGCCCCATTTGCTTCTCGAGCTTGGGCTTTACAGACATTTCATATCTGAGATTGTTCTGTTTGAAAATGTTTTTCTCCTTTTTCTTGTTTTAGGAGGGAAAATGATAAAAATGTTGTAAAATATTATTCGCAATTGAATCAATATTACAAATGTGAGTTCAAAGAATATCAAAGGAATCAATAGCTCTTTTAACGCTTTCAGAGTTACAGCTCTTTGACAAATGTTCAAATGGATGGGTTGGCTTTAGGTTGGCATCATTTATAAGGTTTTGGTAACCAAAGATGTCATTTTTTGAAATATCAACCATGCTTTGGCATTTCAATTAGGCACGGACAAAATGATGCAATTAACATAATCAATTACTAGACCTTTTATTTCGGTCCTCTGAAATCTTCCATTTGTTCAAGCTTTGCAAGCTCCTCTAACGAAGGCAGTGCAAAAAATATCGGTCTAAAAATGAAATTCTTGAGTGCTCGTGTGAAATTGACTATAACAGGTGTTCCTTAACTCCCTTAGTCCATTTTACCGAAAATTTCTTGCTTAGATAAATTTGATTTAATTTGGCGTTATCTGACTAGCTGAATCCATAAAGCCGGGGCGTTTAACCAATTGCTTTAGAGGGACAGCTTAATATTATAATCACAGTTATCAAGTTAACTGAAGGGTTCATCTCATCACAGAGTCTTCAGCCTGACAAGAGCAGTGGAGCAAACACCGAATTGCCAAGTGTCCGAGCAATGTCATGGTTTGAACGTAATCTACTCATAAGGCCAGGGCTTTCAAGTTTCCTCTATAACCAATTGCCTTAGTGGAATAGCTCAGTTTTACGGATTTAACTTCTTAAGATTGTCAAGAAGAACCTGTTATAGTCTACGTGTTTGTTGAAAGTAAAAAATTTCATCTTTAGAGTTCAATTTTCAAGCAACTGACCTAAACTAGATTCACATACTCGACTCTTTCATTTGTAAAGATCATCATCGTCATTGAACATCTTAAATAAAAAACATAGTAATTGTCATATGCAAATGATGCCCCATGTTGTCCGTACCTTATGAAAGGAAAAGGTTGTATTAGTTAATTGTAAGAGCAGGGTACGGTGTTTGAGGGTATATTTTGGGTAAGGTTAAGGTCCTTGTTTTAAAACATGTTACTTTGTCAAAGATCCGTAACTTTGAACCATTCACAGAGTTTCTTAATTCAAATGATATTCAAAGAATTGCAAGTTTGCAAATGTGATCCATTGTTTAACATCTTTAAAGTAACATAAATTTATTTAAGAGTCCTTATAAAAACTTGAGAAAAAAATGGAAAAACAAATTCAAACAAAATGTCTCAAATGATGAAATGGTCTTCCTCACTTGGATGCCCCCAAGTTGTTGAAGTCGATCCGATTCTTGTTACGTATTTTCTGTATGATTCTCTTGATTGTGGAGTAATTCTCGATAGTGTGCCCCGGGACTCCGCTGCAATGAGCGTTCTCATCATACTACCTGGGGTACGGGGCTTCATGGATTTCTCTGGATATGGTGACACCACATGTGCGTCGAACAAATGTTGGTAAAGCTCCTTATATGTCATAGGGTCGAAGTGTTCTCATTTTTTGATGAATCATGTGAAGATAGTTAATGTGAATGTAAAGAAATGAACAAAATGCAAAATGTTTAAATGCATGAAGCATGAAATGTCCGAGGCATTGATCCGAAAAATGTGCCTATTATTCTAATAATCCTTATTGGGGACAAAAATGTTACGTCTGAAGAGACAAAAAACTTTTTGATGGTATAGATCCCGCACAGCCTCTGGCAAGTTGATTCGTCTTCCGCTTCTTCACCGGTTTAATATCCTGTCGAACCGTTCCAGCTCCTTTGGCTAAACTTGTGCGGGTGACGAGTTGCTTGCCCCAAAAAAGATCTCGAATGACTGCATCTCCGGCCTTCACTCTATGCCGAACTCGTTCCAAACGAAAGTGTCTTTGGAGCCTTTCCTCCGAAGTTTGTCGACTTGTTTTTGGAATTCATCAATAATGGTCTGCAGCTTAGCTGGGGTTCCGCCACTTGTTATCGTAGTTTTCAAAAGGAGTTTCTGGGCCAGCAACATTTTTCTCGTCTTGCCCCTGCAACCTTTGCCTCTGAGTATTCTTTGACCACGACTGGACTTCTGAGCTTTTTATCTCTTTGTATTATAACCCCTTTGTCCATTAATACAAATTATTCATGTTTAACAAACACATTTTTTGTGGATCAACACATCGTTTTAAATGATGCAAACAATGAACACAAAATAAAAGAGAACAAAAAAAAGGGTTAGTGAGGTAAATCAAAACAATAAAAAAAATGAAAAATCCTGCCCCACATGATATCTACTCTGCATGCTTTAATTCCTACCCGGACATGATCTCTTATCCCGCATGCTAATTTCAAACAAATCCTAACCGCATATTTGTCTAGTTTGCATGCTTTGAACAGAAAATAAAGCAGGAAACAAAGCATCCTAGGGTTTGGAATGAGGTCTTGGGGTGGGCTCTAATTCCCTGCACTCTCGTGGTTTAGGTTCTAAAAAGGTACTCGAGTTCTCCTTACCGGTGCCCCCTTGGGCTTGCCAGACCCTTAGTCCTAAGCCCATCACAGGCTTGTGTGGACCAAGTTAAACTCGAGAGGACATATTCCCTTATGCCCATACGGAGAATAAATTCACACGAAGGCATAAGGTATATGAATCCCGAAGGCTACTTGCTAGGCCCATACGGTGAATAAATTCACACGAAGGCGTCGCTTTCACCCCCACTTAAAACGGGTTTGGAGCTCGGGTATAGAGCCTGAGAAAACTTTGAAAAATCTGAAATCATTAAAAAATGTTAGTACAACTATTTATTTGAAAAATAATCAAAGGTAAATAATTGGAACCGAATAAATAAATTAAAATTAAAATTTATAATTTTCGCATAAAAAGACAACCGGAAATTAATTCTGGCCTGACTCACTTACCTGTCCCCAGCGGAGTCGCCAAGCTGTCGGAACCGCCTTTCGGTTGGGCCCCGGAATTGGGCTTCGACTTTGATTAAACGAATTGGAGTCGCCACCGACCATTTTAAAAAAAATTTAGGTGGGTCGGACACCATCTTACCTGATCTGCGCTTTACCATAAATGTGTAGGGTTCGGGAGTCGGTTACGGTCAAGGAAGGATTAGCACCCTTGAACTGCCCTTTCGGTACCAATTAATTTGTCGGTTGTCTTTAATTGCGAAAATTAAAATTAAAATTAGAATTTAAAACATTCGATTCAAATACTTACCTTTGATCGATTGAAATTACGACTTAAAAAGTTTAAAAGGAATGTTAAATTAAAAAATAAATAAATAAATATTAAATAAAAAGAGAAAAAAAAGATTTTTTTAAAAAAGGTTAAAAATAGATAATTTAAAAAATAAAAAAAAAATCAAAAACTATATTGTATTATAAAAAAACTCAGAATCAAAATGAGTGTCTACAAGAATCATAATGTTACCATTTAACAACAACAATCTTGCGTGACAACAGCGAACCGTTTCCATGACATGTCTCGCTTTAAGCAATCCACAGGATCCACAAGTTGCACAAGGTAGCTTCCCTTTTCCATCACATTCTGTGCATATGCTCGAATGGAATTCAAGGCTGCCTTACAGTAATGCTCCACAACCTCTGGTATTTCTAAGGTTTCAAGTGGTCGAGGTTTTGGATATATGCCATAGCTCCCATCACGCATAAGAATTCCCCACCGGTCTGAGATGAGTTTATATGTTGATGATATCGACGCCACTCCACCAGGTTGATACACTGAATGTGATGCTCGGCCTACATGCCACAGTTGACGGAAAATGATGCCTCCCTTGGCATGAACAGCATCCACAATCGGCTTCCATGCCTCCACCTATTCTTCATGGTAGATTCCAGGAACATGAGGAAACCCTACGCCGGTGCCGAAGATCAGTGTCCCTTCGGTGATGAGAAAGATGTCGGGAGTCGTCATCTGGGTGTAATATTCAGCAAACACGGCCCTGGTATTCCATTCAACACCCTGAATCTCGTCATAGGCGCCAGAACCACCCTGAGAGAAAGGTTCAACTTTTCCATCTTGTAAGGAGAGAACAACGTAGGGGCTCCTTGAGATTGGGATTCTGTCATTGTTAACTTTCATTCTTCTTTTTCCTACAAAACTCGATGGTAAGAAAATGGATTCATTAATGGTATACTGCCATTGGGAAACCCACACTTAACAAATATAAAAAAAGAGAGAATATGAACATAAGCTGAAAAATGAAAATTCTGAGATTGGGAAATGGGTTTCTCTCTCTCTTCAATTCCCTTTTTCCTCCCAAGCATTTGCCATGTTTCCATAATACTCAGCAAAGTGAGGCTCAATTTGAAGGGCTTCTTCATTTTTAGCAGTGCACATCATAATCATGCACCATTGGTGAGCTAGGGCCGACTGCATATCTTCATTAACTTCAAGTGAATCATGTCCTTTGTGAGGCACAATACCAAGGGAAGAAGCAGGCTCCTGTTTGGCCCCCATAAACGGCAGCTTCTTCAAGTTGTAAGAGGAAGAGCCTGACGACTCAGAAATGCCGGTATTATTCAGAAAATAACTTCTTCGATCCTTGCAAGCAGGGCCATAATCTCGTTCCTGTGGGCAGTAAGTGTGGAATCCAAACGTTCACAAAGGATGTGTACGCGAGTGAGAGCACGCTCCGCCATTTCTTCGAGCTTGAACTTTCGAGAACCAAAACCAAGGAAGAAGAAGATTACTAAGGAGAATGGTAATACAAGGAACCAAAAAATTAATGAACGCAAAATAATAATAATAATCAAAGGATCCAATGAAATGGATCAGAACCAATAAATAAATACATAAATCAAATGCAACTTTCCAGAGAGCAAGGAAAAAAAATTCGTCGCCTCGTTTCTTCTCCCCCGTGGTTCCTGGCTGGTTCAAACATGGTTGCAGCAGTTTGGTTTCTTTGGGATACATGAAACTGACGAAGGTTGTTGATTCTCGAGCCATGAGCGTTTGCTTCGTTCAACACTTGGTAGATGAACATGTCTTGAGAACCATTCTCGTTAAACGGCAGCTGATGATCACTCTGGGACTGGGAGACTTCTTAGCTCTCTCTAGCATTTTTTAATTCCAGTAGCCCCCTCAAATCTAAACGAAAACAGGGGATAAAGAAGAAAAGGGAAATGGGTTTCGTGCAATGGCCGATAGGCCATAGCACCTCTCTCTCTTCAGTTCCTTCTCCTTTTTATTGGCACGGTGATGGAGCAAGTGCCTCACCTAGATTAGTGGAGTTGTGGTTCAAATATGGCAAGGGTTGTTGTTGGTTGGTGTTACTTCGATTCGATGTTTCAAATGGTGAAGTAACAAAGATGGTATTGGAAAGAATAGAGACAGAGAAATTTTAGCCCCGAGAGAGCGTGAGACCAACGCCAATTTAATGTGGGAATGAGATTGTCATTTGATGCTGGAAAGTGAAGAGTGGAGACCATGGAAGGAAGAGAAAGAAGGCCAAGAGAGAGAACCCCACGCCCAGTGTCATCCCCTGTTCATCTTTTTGCCCCCCTACAAAACTCGATGGTGGCCCCCTTAAAAAGAAGAAAGAAAATGTAACTAAAAGGAGAAAATTATGGGATTTGTTTTGAGTTAGTGGGGGGTAGTGGTTGCACGATGGAAGGGGAAAGTAATTGTGTCTACTACTCCCCCTTAATTTATGGTGGCGTGGGCTTAGTGGAATAGGTGGGGTGCATGTAGTTGAGATAATGATGGGTAGTGGGGCCTGCAAAAAATAAAAATTAAATTAAATAATTAAATAATAATAATAAATAAATAATAATATAATATAATATTTTTGTAGACCCGGACAAAAACGGGTGTCTACAACGACATATAACATTTTAATAACAATCAATATATTTACTTAAAATAACTTTGAATCAAATTTGCATATACATAAGAATTTAACTTAAAATAATTTTGAATAAATGAGTCAAACATAATATTTTGTGTATGATATCTCGAATTTGGATATACAAACCCTTAAAGACTTTAAATTTTTCATCATAAAAAATATTCAATGCCAAATAATTATTCAAGTCAAGTAAAACAATCAGCGGGATGAGGCACTAGATTTTTAAGCAATGTCAGATGTTTGAATCTTGACAATTGCGAATGAAGTAAAATAGGTTGGGAGGATCACCCTTGCATATGCAGTATTCGATCCAGATTAATCGATCAATAGATAAAATAATAATGGTTATACAAAAAAAAACAATATTTGTTGGGACAGCGTGCGACTGCATGGCATGCTCTACATTTATGCATGCATGCATTACGACGGAAATGGTCAAAACAAAGGTTTAAGACGGTAACATCCATTGGTTTTAACTACTTAATTGAAAAAAGAAGCATTTATATAAATTTTGCAAAAGTTGTTTTTAACCATTCAAGATCCGAAAACCTTGGGGACTCTCTTCCGAAATAATACACCATACCTCTCCCACCTCTCATTCTGGGCAGCATCTTGTCCCCTTTCTTGAACTTCATCTTCATCTTCATCTTCATCTTCATCTTCATCTTCAAAGGCTTCCATTTTCTTCATTTTTCCCATCTTTAACGTACTAACTTCCGGTCAGGTTTTCGTTCCCACTCGATTTTCAGGCACTGTCATGTTAATCTAAGCCTCTTTGGTACATATTCATCTCATTTATGCATGCATTAATGGTGGAATAATTATGCCAGTTGATTTGTGTCTCTTTAATTTATATGTGGTGATGAACTTTACGTAACTTTAGACTAGAGGTTGTATGCGTGCCTGCATGCATTCATGTATGTATGTACAGTACGATGACATGATAATCTGCGCAGGTGAATTAAATTGTTTCTGAAGAAAAATTAGGAAAGATAAAGAGAATGGTGAACATTTACCGACGCGCCGCCAGCGAACGCATCCCACAAGCCGCCAGCAGTTCACCAAAGACAGAGGTAGGGGAGATCGATACCAGGGCACCTTTTCAGTCCGTCAAAGCCGCCGTTAGTTTATTCGGTAAAGTTGCCGTTCCCAAGGAACGAGAACGACGCACTCCCAGAAAATCTAGAATTTCTGCCGAGGTAATAATAAAACGCAACGTCAAAACGTCCAATCTTGTTTGTACAGGGTAAAATTGTTTTAAAGGTCCTTTAACTAAAACACCAGATGCATCTTGATCCCTTTATTTTTAGCATAATGATATGGATTTTATGAAAGTTGAAAAATGAATTCTAATTTTATGAGATATATTTAATTAAATGATAGAATATTAAAAGAAACTAAAAAATATAATGTTAAATTCAGTTTTTTTGTTACAAAAGGTTTAGGTTAAGGTAGCTCCTAGTCCAGGGTAAGGGCATACTTAAGACCCAATTAAGATTTATATAAAAATTTATAAATTGCCATCAAGAGTAATGGTGGTAGAATTCGAACTGTATATTACAAGCTCAAATTCTTGAATCCCAACTACTTGTACCAACTCGTTGGCTTAAATTTAGTTTTCAATTACTACAAAGATGACTAGTTAGCATGTTTTTTTCCCTATTCTACATAATTAAAATGTACTCTATGCTATAATATAGAGAGCCATAGAGAAATTTTACCAATAATTATTACGAAACCACTCCATCTAGATTTAATTGCTTAACAGTATACTCCTAATTGATATTTGCCAGAATGTTATAGACAAGGAAACACAGCTTCTTCTAGCTGAGAAAGAATTCAACAATATCAAGCAAAAGCTAGACAGTGACGAAGCTACAAAGGCTAAAGCAGATAGTGAGCTCGAAAGCGCCAAGCAAACATTACAGGAATTGTCCGAGAAACTCAGAGCATTAACCGAATCGAAGCAATCCGCAATCGAAGAGGCCGAAACAGTGAAGCAATATGGCAATGAACTCGAACTCAAAATATCTCAGTTCAGCCAAGAATTCGAAGCGAGAAACAAAGAACTCGAGACGGCGAGGGAGCAATACCTGGCCGTCGCGACCGAGCTCGATGCCAAGAAGCAAGAACTGAATAAAATCAGGCAGGATTTCGACGCCGCCTTAGAAGTGAAGCTAGCGGCATTCCAACAGGCAGCGGAAGCGCAGCTTTCGGCTAAAATGCATTCGGAACGTGTCGCGGAGCTCACGAAACAAATCGCGGCCATGAAGGAAGCTGTCAAGCAAGTGAAATTCGCTACGCAACAAGTGTACAATGAACAAGAGGCTATTGCAGCAGATAAAGAGATGTTGAAGAAATCTTATCTGGCTGCTAAGGAGGAAGCCGAAAAGAAATTGAGTGCTTCGAGGGAATTGTATGATCCCGAGTTAACCAAGGTCCTGGAGAAGAAGCTAGTGGAAGCTATGGACGAGGTCGAAGCTTTGCAGGAAGAGATGAAGAAGGTTCATGCTTTAGAAAATGGATTCCGTTAGACTTTTAACTACGGAGCTTAACGAAGCTACTACGACGCTGCAAATGGTGGCCGATGAAGAGTGTTCTCTTCGGAATCTAGTGAGCTCCATTAGGGTTGAACTTGAAGAGGTGAAGATGAAGCAAGCACAACAAAACGAAATTATGGCAAAGAAAGAAGCTGAAAGGGAATCTCTTAATGGTGATCACAATGCTAGGCTGCAACAGCTTTTATTAGAAGCCGAGATTGCAAGAAAAGAAGCCGAAGAGATGAAGAATGATATCGAAACGCTGAGAAAAGATGCCAAGGCGGCGGAAACGGCCGTGATGGAGGTTATGCAAAAGCTAGAACATGCACTGGAACAGGCCGGGCATGCAAAAGTGGCGGAGAAGAAGGCGCTCGATGAAATGCGAGAAATAGAAAAGGGGATCGGTGATGGGGAAGATAAGGCTTTCCAAGGAGGAATATGAAGCATTGCAAAAGAAAATAGATGAATACGGAAACATATCGGAGCAGAAAATAGCAGCTGCAATGGAGGAGCTGGAAGCGATTATCGAGAGAAAAAACGAGGCGGATAAGAAGGTGGAAGAAAACTTGAAAGCGATAGATGAAATCAAGGCGGCGACGGAGCTGGCGGAGAAGTCGGCATCGTCGGCAGAGACAGCACATAGTGTACTCGAAGGTGAACTCAGAAGACGGCGTCAACAAGAAGAGGTAGTT